ATTATAGGACATGCTTCTCAAGCATTCATGAAAAAAACGCGTTTATCAACAAGAAAATTTTTTAATTTGTTTTTCTCACAAATAGTTGAGAAACATTCTATAATTTTAGCACGAATTAGTAGGAGGGCTGAACTATTATATATATTAAAATTCATTCGGTAATGGGTCACATCTGGTGTATTCTTATATTATCCTTGTAAGCTTAATTCTTTTATTTGAAAAAATTACACAATTTTTTTAAAAGGAATGATCTTCATGTGACTTTAAAAAATTGATTTTTTCTAAAAATTGATTTCATCATTATTTGTTTCTCTTTAGACCATATTGTCTGAAAACTATTTTTTGTTAATTATTTTGTCGTCAAGATATTTCCATAAAAATGGGATACTCATAAAACAGTTTATTTTTGTAAAAATGTTATCAAATACAACATTAAATAAATTGTATTAATTTTTGAAAGACGGAAGGCTTAAAATTAATCCTGCGAAATATATAAGATATCAAAAGAACATTTATCTTTTTATTTTAGGCATTCTCACCCAATATTAAATACGTTGTATCAGTCGGTTCGCAGCACGATATGATTGTCAACGTTTGGGACTGGCGAAGTGATGTTAAAATAGCATCCAATAAAGTTTCGAGCAAGGTGAAAGCTGTCTGCTTCGCAGAAAATGGCAATTATTTTGTTACTGTGGGTAATAGGCACGTTAAGTTTTGGTACTTGGAACATTCACGTAGCACCAAGGTACACACTCAATTCTGTTTTACATCTTTTGCGAAATAGCATTATTTTTTTTTTTACAAAATAATTTGTATTTAAAACTAATAACTAAAAGATTAAAAATACGAGGAAATGATGGAAGATGTTAATAACAATTAAAAATGTGTGTATATTTAAAGGAATTAATGAGCGAAACATTTCAACTTGGCAAAGTATCCTTTTCGTGATTGCTCACTACCGAGAGTCTATGGCTTGCCGAAGATGCATAAAATGAATATTTTACTAAGAATTTTAATATCTTTGACTGATACAACTTTCTATCTCGATACAATTATAATATTTACATAACTTAATATTAAACAACATTCCGCATGATGTTAGCCATATTGATAACAGCTTTGATCTTTTTAAAAGAAAAATTAAAAGAAAAAAATGTATTACTTTTTCATGTGCTATTAATTAAAAAAGTAAGATATATTGAAAAAATATATTGAAAAAATAATATCAATGGAAGATTTAAATTTTATAATTTGCGCTGTCTGAAATATGCATTATTTTAAGAATTGCTAATATTCAGTTTTTGATTTTATTTTAGTTTAATGTTTGATATTATATATACGTCACTAAATTACTAAAATCTTGGGTCTTAATAGAGAGTGTGTGTGAGAGCTTATTTAAGAATTAAATTTTTACGTACTTGTAAAATACATGAATTACAATCCTAACATTTATGTAAAACAAATATCTAATTTGAAATTTCACAAGAATTCAAATGGATAGCGAAAAAGAGTTTAGATTTATAATTTATTCAATCTTGAAATCTTTGATTTATTCAATCAGAGTACAGTATCATTCCTAAATTAAAAATTTTTCATGTTGAAAAATGTAAAGAAGATATATTACCATATAACATTTATAATAATTTTTTTTATTCTCAGCACGATTCTTTAAATAAAATAATATACAAACGCATTTTCCGCAAAGTACTTGGAAAAAAAAACGATTGTAGAACAAATTACATTATTAATTGGAACTGAAAGCAAATGATCAATTTCTAATAAAGTAGATCATATAAAATATTACTGTTCTGTCCACGAAGATCAATTGAGTTTGAATCATGAACAAAGTTAAACGACATTTAATTAAATTTAGGAACACTCAAATTCATTGCAGCTAAGTTTAATTAAATGTCGTTTAACTTTATGATACTTAAAGATAATTGGTTTTTAAACCTATTAATTTTCTTGTGAAAATTCAAGGATTACTATAATTAGACGAAGGTTTTTGTCTTCCTCTCCACAATGATTTTATAACAATTGAATTTATTAAACACATAGAAAATAATTTAGCAAAATTATAAGCCGTTAATAAGAATATACTTTCAGAATTAGGAAGCTTTCCAGCAGAGGCATAAATCGACAGAAGAAGAGTCATTCTATCTTTGTTTCTTATTGATTATGGAACAAGGACAGGATAACTCTTGTCAATTTATATCTCTTGCTGGAAAACTCTATGACTGTTTCTCTTATTATTGAATATTAGAAATTTACAAGAAATAGATCAAATATTGATAATTTTATTTTATATTCTTTATTTTATATTCTTTATATCAGTAAATAATTTATTAAAGGTAATCCACAAATTCAGAGACAGTGTCCAAATCCACGGCAGTGTCTCAGTTTTAAGAGGACGCGCGATAGGACGAGACCGATTTGTATTTTTACATAAGTCGACGAATTTTCCGAGTTCGCGATTATTAGATTTCAATGAAGGCTGTACTGATAAAATTCTATGTATGCTTAATCGATAGCTTATACTCGGATTGTGTAATGAAAGTGTCTTTATTTTTTTTTTCTATGTGTCCTACAAGAGAAGACATTGCGACAAAATTTTAATTAAAATTTTATTAAATTAATTAAATGAATATTCAAGGTTCAATTGAATATTCGAGATAAGCTACGAAAAATAAAAAATGGGAGAGGTCTATTAAAAAAATTTAAAGTGACTTCACCCAAAATCAAATCCATGGATACCATTTTATGTCCCCTCGAATAACTTTTGTCTGAAACTTTTTTTAATCCTACGTCTTCTTGAGATATTTTAGTTATCGATTAAAATGAAACAACCTGTATAAATAAATAAATAAATAAATAAAAATATATATATATCTATAATTATAAAAATCTAAAGTTTCATTTAATAAATCGATATTTTTTGTAATTAACTGTAATTAAATGACTACTTACGTTTCATTCACCATTCTCGAAAATCGTACAGGTTCGATCCTTGGTTAAAAGAATCAAGTTCCTTGATCTAAGATAAAGAATCGACGGATGCACTGTCTCAGACAGCGTGATAGCGTTTTATATCGATATTGATCCACATCTGGGACCCATTCAAATGCTTTTGTAGATCGCGTCTCAGCAATAACTAAGATAATAAAGAGTGATGTCAGCTCTTCCACTCTCCATTTCCTCGTTTTTCCATGAAATAAAAAATCTTGGTGTTTTTGAACATAACCAGATTAACAAATGAGTTTTAAAACAATTTATCCACCATAGTTACAACAACGAGTTGAAAATATTCTAACATGTACTGTACACAACAATTTAATGTAGTTCTAACACCGGACTTAATTATATAATTTTATTATATAATTTTCATATGGAAAACGATTCAGTTGTGGACTTCTTTTATATCCGGATACATTAAGATTTTTAATGACATTTATTAATCATTGTTATGATAGTTGTTATTTTCAAAATATACATATAATTTATTATATGGATTGTATGCTATGAATTTAAAACGAATTTTTTATTAATTTTATATGTGATTGTACTTTAATAATGACTTTTAATAATGACTGAAAAGGACATTTAACAAAAGTTTAAGTTGATTCGCTCATTAATTATTATTATTATTAATTACTCTATTATTATTATTTATTATTAATCTATTATTTATTAATATATATATTCATTTTATTCACTCATTTATATTTGACCTATTTAATCTTCAATTTTCTTTTTTTACTTTTTTCTTAATAGAAAAGTAATCAATTTAATATGATATTTTATTATGCAGTATAAAGAACCCGTGCCTTTAATGGGTCGATCTGCTATATTAGGAGAACAGAGGAACAATGATTTTGTTGATGTAGCCTGCGGTAGAGGAGAAATGACGGATTCTACATATGCAATAACCAAAACAGGCTTGCTGTGCGAATTTAATATTAGAAGACTTTTGGACAAATGGGTTGAGCTTCGAGTAAGTTACTTCAAATGATTAAGCTTAATTCTACGAACACTTGCGAATATAATATAAAGCAGAAAGGAATAAACTATCAATTTACTTTAAAATTCCCATTTAGAGGACACATTTTCAATGATCTTGACGTTTACATGTTGTCACGATCAGACTTTAACAATGAGTAACAATTAAAAGATTTATGCCCATTTTTACCAACATAGATTAAATCGAGATTAAAGTCAATCTACGTTGGTGGAAATGGTGGATTAGAGTCTCTTTTACCTCGGTTAAGTTAACCGATGCTTACATGAGGTTTATTTAAACCCAGTTTCACAACTCATGATTAATTTTTAACCAAGATTTAACTTATTTTAAGTTAAATTTTGGTTAAAAATTAATCATGAGAAAATGATTGTGAAATTAGGCCTAAATGAGCCCCATGTAATTGTCGGTTAACTTAACTGATGAAAGAGACCCATAAAGTGATGAGAAAATTACAATATTACAAAATTACGATATTACAAATTAAAATTTTAATGGACTTTACAGAATTAACCCTTCGTGATCACACTGGGCTCAAAATAAACGCATTTAATCAGTAATTTTTTTGACACATAACGAAAATTGAATACGACAATTGATTAAATGCGCTCTGGGATCATTTTGACCTCGATATGACTATTACGAAACTTTTAAGAAGTGTGACTATGAAGGGTTAAAAATCTCTTTATATGTTTATTCAGTATACTCACGAATGAACCTTGGGATATTCAATTAAATTAAATTTAAAAACATAAAAATTAAAAATTATACATATATTTTTTTATAAAAATTTATCACTGTTTTTATCTCTTATGGGTCGATTTTAGCCCATTTACAGCCCGTTCTTTTTCATTTTTTTTGCATTCAAGTATTCGCAGTGTATCGCGAAGGATAACGAATATACGCGAATATGCATATGAGTATTTTTGAGAAGATTGCCCGTTTCCAATACTCGTTTTTCCGCTGATGACAACATCGCGAAGGATAACGAATATATGCGAGTACGCACATAAGTATTTTTGAGTGAACTGTTCGTTTTTAATACTCGTTTTTCAGCTGATGAGTGAGAACTCGTTTATAATTGCAACAAGTGCAAGAAAATTCTGTTCACGAGTAAGTATAGAATAGGTATGAGGGAGAATGCAATGCGAGAGAGAGAGAATGTGATAAGTAGACGCGAGAAAACGAAAATAATGGGAGGATAAAAGAACGTATCGCAAGAAACAGAGTGTGAATGCAATGGCGGCCGCGACACATTACGTGAACCGTGGACTCCGGAGGTCTCACGCTATGGAACCTCTAGAGACACTATAATAAGAGATTGGCACAGGTTTTAAGTGTAAGAAATTTAGAGGAAACGCACAATAGAGAAGTTTCAGAGTTATGTGGAGGAATCTATCATACAATATGGAGAAGATCAAGGCCTCTATTCTGTAACTCTTAATGCAAGTTTCGTTATCGTTATAACGTCATTATGCAACTTTTTTATCATGATAAAGAAGTTGCGCAATGTTATAACGATAATGTTATATTGGGAGTACAAATAAATTTCCACTGTTTGCAAAAGGCGTCACTAATAAACTATAGTTAAAATTGTTTGATAAAACGACATATCGTAAGATTGAACATCCGGTAACATCATAACCTTGAAATATTAGCGATTTTGTATCACCATCATATATTTTTTTTGTACGAAAATGTCGAGTTTTGAGTCGAATAAGCATCATTTGCGGGAACTTTTGATTTACTTCTTTAATTTGAAGAAATCTGCAGCTGAAGCTCATAGATTGCTTGTAGAAGCATATGGTGATGCTGCCTTAAGTGAGAGAAGTTGTCGTGAATGGTTTCAAAAGTTTAAGAACGATGAATTTGACGTCGAAGACAAAGAATGTAGCGGAAGGCCGAAAGTATACGAAGACGCGGAATTGGAAGCATTATTGGATGAAGATTCGTGCCAAACGCAAAAAGAACTTGCACTTACATTAGGAGTGACTCAAAAAACAATTTCATATCGTTTGAAATCATTGGGAATGATTCAAAAGCAAGGGAATTGGATTCCATATGAATTGAAGTCGAGAAATGTTGAACGCCGATTTTTCACACGTGAAATGCTGCTTGCCAGGCATAAACGAAAGGGGTTTTTTGTATCGTATAATCACTGGTGATGAAAAATGGATCCACTATGATAACCCAAAGAAGAGGAAATCATGGGGATCACCTAGCCATGCTTCAACATCGAATATTCATGGAAAAAAACTCATGTTGTGTATTTGGTGGGATCAGCTTGGTATTGTGTATTATGAGTTGCTCAAACCGAAGACCATTACTCTCTACCGAACACAATTGATGAGATTGAGCCGAGCACTCAAGAAAAAACGCGCCCACTACTACTCCAGGCATGACAAAATTATTCTCCTGCATGATAATGCTCGACTATATGTTGCGGCGCCGGTCAAAACCTATTTAGAAACATTCAAATGGGAAGTTCTACCCCACCCGCCGTATTCTCCAGACATTGCTCCTTCCGACTACCACTTGTTCCTATCGATGACGCATGGCCTGTTTGAGCAGCACTTCATATCATATGAAGATACCAAAAATTGTATTGATCGATGATTGGAGCCTCAAAAGATGAAGCGTTCTTCCAACGCGGTATCCACATGCTACCAGAAAGATGGGAAAAAGTAGTGACTAGCGATGGCTAGGCCATTACTTTGAATAAAAAAATTATGTACCGTTCTTTTACAATAAATGCTTAATTTTTGATTAAAAACGGCGGAAATGCCGTACTCTTATTTGTACTCCCAATAATAGAAGATCTCGATTTGATCTGTGACCCAATAATAGAAGATCTCGGAGCATTTTGATATTTTTCTGTTGTTCCATATTTCTTACAATTTCAGAAGTGGAATTCAATTCCGCTATTCTTCAGGGGGCGAGAGCTAGAATTTAAAAAACAAATGTTCTGGAATTAGCTGTCTTAGGAAAATCAGAGCCAGTGATGAGAATGTCCTCGGAAGTGTGCTCAGAATGATTCGGTAAAAGAGGGACTGGGACTTACAATCAAAACGATAAATTTATAAATAACTCAGGAAGAATCGGATAGTATACGTCTAGTGGTATGCCATCTAGTGGACGACCATCTTCGATTCATGTTCTTCCATCAAGACATCCATTGGTCCTCCTGAGCAATTTATAAATTTGTCGATTATAAGTCCCACTCCCTCTTTTATCGGGGACACCCGACAACTCTGGCAAAAATTTAGCTACATTTACCATGCATTTAGGCTGCGGCTATACAATAGATATTCTTGTTTATTCTGTAAGATATTCTGTAAAATAAAAACATCTATCGTATAGATCGCGGACTAAGCGCACGATGTAAACATAATTGTAATGATGTAACCATTGTTATCTAAATATGGCGAGCAAAAATGGAGATATTTCAAGTCGCATATGTTGTCAGACTGGTCGAACTTATTAAGGACTTATTAAAGACTTTGTCCAATATTGCGGTCAGGATTGTACATACAAGATGTATTGTCAGGCCGAATTTTAAGAAATTTAGAGGAAATAGACATAACAAAGAAGCTATCAGGATCAGGATTGTATAGCTCGCTGGCAAGAAGTAGAAGTCTATCATAATATGGAGGAGATCAGGCCTCGGTTCGAATCCGCACTCTAATTTTTTTCGTGTTATCGCTTATTTCTTATAATTGGAGAGAAAATGGCGGACATAAACCGTAATCACATTACAGGTTGTTGGTTACGATTGCTGGTTGTCGTTTTTTTTAGCCAATCATGATGCAATGAGTGCAGGTTAGCTGCAACATGATTGGAGAAAATAGAACCGACAATCAGTAATCGTAACTGACAATCTGTAGTATGATTATAGTCATACACACGGCTTATGCGGAGTCTATAATAGGAGTCGTTAGACGATCGTGGAATCTTAGAAAATTTATCAGTTATAGTCGATTATTTTCCTTATATTTGACTGCGATTGGTTAATTTCCTATAACTTAAGATCTCATGACCGTCTATAATTCATATTATAGACTCCGCATAAGTATAGCAGTTGTTGACATATAAAATACACTAAGAATTATATTATATTAATATTTGATTATTGCTAAATATTCTGCTTATGTCTAATTTCTTCACCTCTATATAATTTTATCCAAGAGATATCTCCTGGATAAAATTATTCGTACTTATCTGGAAATAAAGAAATTGAGCATTAATGTGTTAAATATATTAACAAAATTTTAAAAGTATTAATAAAATTTTTAAAATTAAATATTGTTAAAGGAAAAATAATTATCTGTTTGTAAGATAAGAATAAAATGTTATAACCAATTCTATCATAATAAATAATATAATGTAGAGAATGACGGGTTGTTGTATTTTGAAATGTAAGAACAGGAAAGATATAAAGCACTTTCCATTAAACCCAATAATTATTTAATTTTGCTATAAGCTTATGTATATTTATGTTTTTGTATTACTGATGTTAATTATATTACTGATGTTTATATTATTTATAGTCATTATGGTTTATATTATTATTTATCGATACTGCGATATTAATTTAGATAGCAAAGCGTGTCTCAGCAAAATCGCACAAATCTGTGATTGCTTATAATACTGGTAATGTCATAGATTTGTCTTCAATGATTTCGAATATACCGACATTGTAGCGATATTGAGCATGCAGGCAACAATGTATATATATATTGCCAGCACTTTAATAACAAGATAGCTGTATCAATGTTATCTTGTGTTGTTGGCAACACATGACAGCATTGTATGATGCTGCATATTATGGTAAGATTATGGCAGAAGTACGAATTTTTATGATGATGATTTTAAAGTTGTCGGCAAACTACTGGCAAGTTGCTACTCAAAGTTATCATATCGTAAAGGCATCAAGTTGCCAACAAATGAGGAATTGCTGTAATTCTGGTAACAACACATGTTTAGCAATGCATACTTAGCAAGAAACATGTCAGTAACAAAGACGCAAATCTATCTAGGAACATTTATTAAATGTAATGTTAAAATGCTTATTATTTGCTTTTATTTTCCCTTTTTTGCATTTCTGTTTCCCCTTTCGTATGTTTAGTCATTACAAATTGGCTATACCATTCTGTATCCAGCCAATCAAAAATTGGACCATCTATGCCAGTCTCTTACTGTAAGTCTATTCTTTTTCTATCCCAAGAACTGGTGTACACTGGTGCAATAAATTAGAGTGAGACAGCTATAGTTTGTTTTACTCTAACTTTGTCAAGTTTTATTAAAATACTCTAAATTTGTTAAGTTTCATTAAAATTGGAGAGAGATATTTGTGAACCTTTCCTTGTTAAAAGGATGATCTTTGTAACATAATCAAGATCAAAACCACTGAAAATAGATCTCCTAAAAGTAGTTTTACCTAAACTTATTTTTGGCAATAAAAAAATTTTGATGATAAATATATAACGCTCCCCTTCGATTTTTCTATAATTTTGTAAATTTATTTTTAAATGTATTTTTATGTGTTAACATTAAATTAAAAAAAAAACGAAACTTGAGATTTTCTCGGAATATATTTTATGAAAATACATATAAAATTACGGAAAAATCGGAAGGGAAGATGTTATATTAAATATTTATTATTTTTATTGTTTTTCTAGACAAGTAGTGCCAATTGTATGGCGATTGGAGATAAATATATTTTTATTGGATGCGCTGAAGGTATTGTAAGATGCTTTAGTCCTAGCACACTTCAATTTATTACTACACTACCGAGAACACATTACTTGGGAGTTGATGTCGCACAAGGATTATCCATCAGGTTTATTTTTAACAATTGCGTATCTCGATTATTTTTTGTTGCGATAACTTAGAAATATCTTTCTATTTACTTTTTAGCCATATGTCTCAACACCCATCTAACGCAAAATATCCGGACGCGATTGCGTTGGCATTTGATGAGCGAAATAACAAACTAACTTGCGTATATAACGATCACAGCATCTACATTTGGGATGTGAGAGACATCAAACGGGTTGGCAAATCGCACTCATTTCTATATCATTCAGCTTGCATCTGGGGTGTTGAGATGTATCCGGTTGATACAGATTCCATCAATGCAATGCCACCTGGAAGTTTCATTACTTGCTCCAGTGACGATACAATAAGAGTCTGGAATCTAGAGAAGGACATTCACAATGATACCTTATACAAACGGAATATTTACAGCAACGTCAGTACATAGACGCGTGCTCCAATCTTATTCCTTTTGTAAATCTAATTGAAATGCATATAGAATTAATATTTCTAACGTCATTTTATTTTCTTGATTGACAGGAATTGCTCAAGGTGTTGTACATAGATTCAGAATTGATTTATCTAAAGGATCTGGACTTGGCTGCTGCAGGATCCACTGAAAGAAGCGATACATCTTACGACAGTCGCAACGGTGTGAGATCAATAAGAGTCGCTCCTGATGGCAAGCATCTCGCTTCTGGCGATAGGTAACGAAAGAAAGAAAGAAAAATTCATTTGATTGAAAAAAGATAGAAAGATGAAGGATATAGGGGAAACTAGAGATAGTTGATATATGGGGCATGTTGATACAATTAAATATATAAAATTGCTGTAAAATAATAATAGTAATATTGGGAATACAAATTAGTTCGGTCCGTTTGCCTAAAGATAGCTCCAGCTGTTGTGAATGGTTCATAGTGACAGCTGATTTTGGCGGTTTCAGAAAGGTTAAACATCTGTTAATAATATTCAGTTTATATCGCTTTGAGTTTCATACAAAAACCTTGATTTTTACTATGTTTGAAATGTCGAATTTTGTGTTAACCAAGCAGCATTTGCGGGAGGTTTTTCTGCTTTAATTGAAAGAAAAGTGCGGCTGAAGCCCATCTGAAGACAAGCTCTGGACAGCCAAAAAAATTCGAAGACAAAGAATTAGAGGCATTACTCGAAGAAGATCAGAGTCAAACGCAAGAAGAGTTTGTAGAATCATTGAGGATAATAAGCCGTTTCTGTACGATTGAGAGCCATGGATTCAAAAACAAGGAAATTGGGTGCCTTATGAACTGAAACCGAGAGACGTTGAAAGGTGATTTTTCACTTGCGAATAGCTGATTCAAAGACAATAGAGAAAAGGTTTTTTTGAATCGGATTGTGACGGAGATGAGAAGTGGATATTCTACAACCTCAAGAAGAAAAAATTACGCTAAGCCCGGTCAATCGTTGCCATCGACCTCAATATCAACATTATGGCCGAACATTCACGGTTCGAAGATTATGCTCTGTATCTGATGGACCAAAAGGGTCTTGTTTATTGAACTACTGAATGAGCTACTGAAGCCTGGCGATTCCATTACGAGTGATCGGTATCGGCTACAATTGATTCGTTTGAGCCGTGAATTGCGAGAAAAACGGCCGGAATACAAACAAAGACATGATAAAGTTATTCTTCTTCATGACAACGCTCGGCCTCATGTCGCTAAAGTCGTAAAAAAATATTTGGAAACGCTCAAATGGGATGTTTTACCGCACCCGCCGTATTCTCTGGACATTGCTTCTTCTGATTACTGGTTGTTCCGAAGGATGCAGCAAGTCATCGGTTCACTTCTTTCGCAGAAATCGAAAATTGGCTTCAAAATTGAATCGCCTCCACAGACGAGTCATTTTTTCGAGATGGAATTCGAAAATTGCCTGACAGATGGAAAAAAGTAGTAGGTAGCGATGGACAATACTTTAATTGATCTTCATTCATTTGAAATAAATGCACAAAAAAATGGACCGAACTAATTTGTACTCCCAATATTTCATTAAAAATATAATATTTCGGTGAAAATATTACGATCATGGTGCAATAAGTTATTTCAGAATAGCGGTTTTTCAGAAATAGAAAATATTTTTAGTTTTTGATAGCTTAAAATGAAATAAATTATTGATATTATGAGTCGTTTTCATCAACGCCAATTCCTTGATTTGCCGATTAAATTTAATTTGCCAACTGCTAAACTGACAATTTATCTTTAACCTAATTTCTTGATCTGTTACAAAATACATATTTGTTAAAATATTCAAAATGTATTTATATTTCAAAATCTAATTTGTTACTTTTTTCTTACCATGAATAGATTAGAAATTAAGACATATTTTAGTCTTGCTATTGATTCTGGTGACAAAGTTAATCGATCGATTAAGTAATCGGCGTCGATGAAACCGGTTCTAAATGTTGTATTATATATTTATTATATATTTATTACTTTGTTTATTATATGATAATTCCAAATATTTCTTTAAAAACTTTAATTACTTCATAAGTAATAACTTACAGTTACATAAGTAATAACTTATATTCATGTCTTGAAATATATTTTTGCTTAAACAACAATTAAAATATGTAAATATGACAACCTGAGGCTAGTTGTGAATTTATTGTTATGTTTCTATTTCTTTGTCATTATAAATCAATCTCGGTATATAACCTCAACGTAACAGCGGCAATTACATTGTGATCTTACGAAAGATTTTATCACGCGCATTAATGTCTCTTATTAAACATTCAAATAACTTAATTATATATATCTATAATAATTATATATATCTATAATAATTATATAATTTGCGAGATTCTATTTTTTATATGTGTGAATTTATAATAGTAACAAAGCTAATTTATTTGCGCACCTACTTCTGCGCATTGATTCTGATATGTCCTCAATACTTTTAATATATTTATTGTTTAATATTATTGTTTTTACATTCAAAATCTTATTATTTTATTTGGATATAATATTTATATATTATTTTTACAGATCCGGCAACATCAGAATTTACGATATTTCTTCGTTAAAAGAGCTATGTCTAATAGAAGCACATGATGCCGAGGTGCTATGTCTAGAATATTCCAAGTTCTCACGACATTCACTAAACACTCCTAGGCTATTAGCAAGCGCATCTCGCGATAGATTGATTCATGTTTTTAGTGTTGATCAGGGATATAATTTTCTGCAGACGCTTGATGATCATAGTTCTTCTATTACTGCGGTCAGGTTTTTTAATCAATTGAGTCAGAGTAATCAAATACAGATGGTATCTTGCGGCGCAGATAAAAGTATAATTTTTAGACAATTGCAATCGGTAAGTAATTCTGTGCGATGATCAATAACATTGTTCAACAGAAAAAACAAAAGAAGGATAATTGTTTCCCATAATTTTGAACGCTGAATACTTATTTATCAAATTATTTTATTATGTCACACGTTTGAAAAATTTGCAGTTAAAGTTACAAAAAAGGGCTTCACATTCTCCCTAGCCAGACTGTTCGCTTTCTCATTTCCTCTGATATCTAGGAATCCATTAAAGTAATGTGGCTTATTATTTCTCCTAATTTTGTTAATACTTGCATATAATTTCAAATTACAGACGAAAGATTCGGATTAAGAGACATCGTGCCAATGACCTTGATTTTGATATATATTAAGATTATGATCTTGAATAACCTTCAAAAGATTTTAGGTGCTAGTCATTGTTCATTGAAAAATTATTACTAAAAAAATGTATATGGAAAGCGAGAAAGAAGGGGGGGTAGGTGGAAGAGAGGGAAGGAGGGAGGAGAGAGAGAGAAAAAATTGTATGTGGAGTAATTAAAATGAAAAATGAACTATGTACTACACACGAAGTAAAACGAGGTTTATAATTGTTCTGTTCCACATGAATTTTCGAATTTCACTTGTCTAGGAGAAAGTCGGTTGCTTCTTTTGCGATTATGATCACAAATTTCTCCTTGTAACATGATGGAAAATTTTGGTAAATGTCATCATATTTAGCACCTAAAATTAGCACCTAATTATGAGAAATAATTATTCTCGTTGTGTTTGAAAAAAAATAACTTTTTGTTGAACAGTGTAATTAACTTGATACCTGTTCATTAAGATTTTATATTACAATTTTTTCTTATGTTTTTAGACACCAGGTGGAATGCCGCAATTTGCTAGAGGCCGCAACGCTCAGGGAAAAACTACTTTATATGACATGGAAATCGATTCCGGACAGAAACATGTGCTAACCGCCTGTCAAGATAGGAATATTCGCGTTTACAATGTTACTACGGGTAAACACAGCAAGACGTTTAAAGGTTCCGTTAGTGATGATGGTTCATTGATTAAAATTGTTCTAGGTAAGATATATAATTTATAGTACACGCACGCACGCACGCACGCACACACACACACACACGTACGCATGCACGCACGCACGCACGCCGCTGTTCTATCATAATAATGAAAAATTTTTTAATAACATGAAAATATATAGATATATTTTCATATATTCATAAATATACAGGATGAACCGAAACACATTATACAATCAGAAAGAGAATTTCTCAGAGTAAATATTTACATAAAGTTAGCCTTTTGAAAAGTGTCCAGATAATGTATAAAGCCCTTTCAAAAGTTAATGAGTTTATATATTATCGTATATATTGTATTATTAAAGTCCTAAGTGATTCTTGAATGATCTCTAACAAGTTTTAACCATTGTTCGTCATTTATTGCAATAAAAAGTTATTAATCAAAAAGATTTAAAAAATAATATCTTATTTCTGCTATGTTAAGACTTATAATATTAAAAACTACCTCACACTTTCCTCTTCTTACTATAATGATTTTCTACGCGAAGCAAAGTCCACCCTATACAGAGGAGGTATCCCTCTGCTTAGTGGAAATAGCCTCGCATCATTGTAAGACATTGCACTGGAGTGATGCATACCATGGTATATACTACTTCATTGCACTAAAATCCTGCTCTCGATTAACTTCTATTTTCAAATTTTAAATGTTACACTGGCTCTATATTGTCTCTTTGAGACAGTATAGCAAAATTTCACTTCGTGCATAAAACTTGTACTACATAGGAAACACGGTACATCGAATGAGTTTGTCTATCACCAGCTATGAAAACACGCTACACTGTGCAGTGCTCTGAGTTTTACATTACTGCAGCCAAGGGAAAACATTACTAGAATCGATGCAATTTATCTATTATTTGTTAGGTTTCCTGAAATTTTAAGCTGACTTTTCATGCGCAGCACGCTGCGGTAACAAAATGCTATTATTGATAAAAATTTTTCGAGATGATCCTCACTATGCCCAGTGTAGGACACGCAGACGGGTTTTAGATGTATGAAGTTAGCCACCCTTTTTTTGAAAATTAAAATTTTGACAATTATTTCAAGTTGTTCTGAGTTTGTTCTATATTGTTCCAAAGCGATATTATCTTATTCCAAATCGTTTTTCAATAAAATGTAAAAAACGATTTTTTTGTTAGCCCCCCTTTTTAAAAAATCAAATAATTTCTTTTCGCTACAGATTGTGCTAGTTGTTCCAAACATTGTTCCAAAAGGACAATTCCGTAAGTTGAATGGAAATCGAGAAAAATAAAAAAAATATTTTTCAACAAATGAATTCCGACCAAGAGTAAAGGTAAACACTCCTTATTCCAACGCAAAATTTTATTTTTAGTTGTTTTCTAGTCCTGCGAAACATAGTTCTGTATTATGAATCATGCGCTACTGGTTCTTCCAAAAATCGAAAAAAATCGATTTACTCTTGATGATGAATGTAAAAAATCGATTTTTTTTTTGCCGGATAAGAAAATGTTTTTTTGTTTTCTGCTATTTGCGTTCGTTTCATACAGAATTGTCCTTTTGAAACAATGTTTAGAACAATCTGTTCTTTTGAAACAACTAAAATAAGCTATAGCGAGAAGAAATTGTTTGATTTTTCAAAAAGGAGGGCTAACAAAAAATTGTTTTTTACATTTTATTGGAAAAGATTTGAAATAAGATCGTTTTGGAACAAACTCAGAACAACCTGGAACAATTGTCAAAATTTTAATTTTCAAAAAAAGAGTGGCTAACTTCATACACATGGGTTTTAGTTGGTGAGAATCCCACATATCCCACGCGGCTCTTTCTTCAGAAGTCCACAGGGATGCATAATGCATGTATTTTCTCTTCATCATAAAAACAAAATGACTTCCAATCAATTCTCGAAAATTTTAATCACATACGACATTGTGTTGTTCCAACGTGCTGCATATGAAAAGTCAGTTTTATTAGAAATTAGAGCAGCGATTTTTGTTATAAATTTCTCAAATGACCTATCAAATCTATCTCATTTGTATTTTCAGATACGTCCGGTATTTATGTAGCTACCTCATGTACAGACAAAACGTTATGTGTGTACGATTATTATAGCGGTGAATGTATGGCTACTATGGTTGGTCACTCAGAATTGGTAACAGGTTTACGCTTTAGTCCAGATTGTCGTCATCTTGTGTCTGCAAGCGGCGATGGCTGTGTATTCGTATGGCGTGTTCCACACGATATGGTCGTGACTATGCAGGCTCGTCTAGCCCAGCAAGCAATGCGTGCCGGCAAGTAAGTAGTTTCTTTTCTGTTTATAAATCTTAATTATTATTATGTGACTTTAATTAAAATAGTTGTACTTTTTTTAAATGTATTCATAGAAGACCACTCCAAGTTAACGGTGGTGGAATCGACGTGCGGTTAGATAATGAAATCTTCGGTTCACCTCCATCAGACTTTCTCGATCCTAATGCGAATCCGACGCTCCAGAGTGTAGATTATAGATTTAGCGTTGGTCAGCTGCCATTATGGGCGAAGAAGCAAATGAATACTGCGAGTATTGATGATAGTGCAACACTGAGCTCAAGTGTCAGATCTCTCGGTGTGGATCTGCCAAAGGGACGATGGGCGCAAAGAGTTCAACAAGGCGATGGTATCACAGTAAAATCTGTCTATGACAGTGATGAAGTTATACCATTTCCTCCGTCGCGCAGTGCCATTGATTCGGATGGTGGTGATGGTGGCTCGAAGGACAGCTCCATTGATAGCGGTACAGAGACGAAATGTAGCAGCGATTATCGTCGAGAAACATTAATTAATAAAAGGGTTGGTAAAAGAGAATCTTTAGGAATCCTTTTGTAAATAACTTGCGATAGATGAAATACAAATTAAGAAAGAGAATGCAGTTACGAAATTATAAGGCCAAAGATATCTTTATGTTCCTTTTATCACCGAATTGAATTATTTAAAAAATTTTTTTTATACGATTGATTACATTTCGGTACTTTTTTTCTGAATAAGTTTTTTGTAATGTTAATTCAAATTTGACAAAAATGATTTTCTTTTGTAACTTTAATTGCTCATAACTTTTAATGAAGTTATAATTTTTGTAAAACTAAACTTATACAGTCATCCAGACAGCCAAATCTGTAGAGACAGATTTTGAGCAGATTACCAATGCTATCAATTTTTGATGACAGAAATGCAATAAATTTCACAGTGTGAAATATCTAACGATGACGCCAGAAATGTGACTAAGCCTGCTGATATACTATGCTAGCAGATTGACAGGGACCGAGCATTTGCAATTCCTGCTTGGTCTTTGTTGCTATTCTGTTGTCAGATTGCGTGCTCGATTTATGTCACTAATTTGCTCTCTGATTATGAATAGGCTCTGTCGATAGAATAGAAACAGAATACCATAATTGATATCAGTGCTAATATTTCTGATTAAATCTGCTACCAATCTGTTGATATTCTGCTTACTTGGACATAGTTTATTATTTCTGAAAAGATTAAAATAACAATTAAAGAGCTTATTGCAACAATGAGTTGATCTATTTTGTAAAAATATATAAAGATCTCCAAAATTAAAGTGATGGGGAAAAAATATCAATTATAGATTCGGTTACATTGTGGATTAGCTATAACTTGGCCGAACAAATGATAATAAAATTTTTCCTATCATTTTAATTTTAGAATTCATTTACTCCATTCTTATAAAATGTAACAAATGGGTTTGCCTACTGCAGCAAGTACTTTAATTATAAAAATTAATTCGATTTTTTTTACTTTTCGATGAAAAATTATATAAAAAATTATATAAAAAAGTAAAAAAAATACGATTTTACAAGGTAGCATAGCCTCCCATATTTTGATGAACTTGAAAATAATACACACGCGCATATCAATTTATTTTGTTTAAAAAAAATTTCTCTGCACATTTTGAGTTATGCAAGCCTCTTTTTTTTTTGTTCATTTCAAAATAACAAATGGAAAATGTTGCCTCCATTGAAGGTAAGAAATTGAATAGAAATTTTTAAAAAATTTAGTTTTCTGATGCTTCTAGATATTCAAATGGTGAGCAATCTATAAATTCTATCTTTTTTTGGATATAATCGAAAATCATTTGGCATAGTTCAAATACAGAATACGTACAACAAATAATGTATTTTTTTTTTATTAAAAAACAAATTTGATATTTTGGTTATTTTCAAGTTTATTCTCTTTTTTAAACACATGAATATTTAATTATTTTTTAATGATAATTAATCTTTGACTAATATTATCATATTCTTTTAATGTATTGCTGTTTTTTGCAATCTAAGAATAGGAGGATGTTAATTGTGATTTTAGGAAGAAGAAGAGAATGTATTTCAACCATGTCCTAAAAGTTATAGAGAGATAGAAAATGAAACGAAGCAGGTACTAACAAAGTTATATAAGTATTATTGTATCATATATGTTATTGTCTTTTTAATATAACAGATCTATTTTTGTTCGTCGATTATTTTGTTTTGATCTTGTTTTTTTAATCATCCTTTTTTGGCAATTTGCATTGTTAATTTGCCATCATATTTGTTTCATTGATTACATTTTATTTCGATCACTGATATATAGGTAATTGGCGATAAAGTGATAATAAGAAGTAATAATATTACGGAATTGACACGTCAATCGAGGAGTCGTCATCACACTGACGATAGCAGTCTTGGCAGCTTTAAATTTGAGGTAAATTCTTCTAAAAACACGAAATATTTTCAAAAAATAATTGTCTGAAAATAGTTTATTTAAGAAATATTTTATGAAATCGCTTTTTCCAAGTATGACAAAATATATCATATGTTGCATAAATAATATTTCTGTTTATATTACATTTTCAATTGACATTTGATGTTTTATTCATATGCTTATGTGTTATGTATATTTTTAATTTAATTGTTAATTATGTTATTAATAAATAATGCCTCGCTGTATTTTTATCTAAAAATGTCATTCAGGATCATGAAAGCACTGAACATGATGGGGATGTTGAAGATTATTCCGAAGGGGAAAATGGAACGACTGGTTCTGAAAAGTCACATCATAAATTAATGTATTATCCCCCACCAGAAGATATTGTGTCAAATCAATTTACTGTTAATGCGATGGATGTTGAAGAGCTCCGAAGGTTTATTCTTGATTCAATATATTTATGTTGTTTTTTTGATTGTATTGTGAGCTTTTCATTAAATAGAAAATATATCTTATATGCATAGATCACAAAGGCGTCAAAGAAAATTGAAAAACACAGAGAATGGTCGGATTAGCGAAATAACTGCATCTGGCAGTCAGGACGAATCTGATTCAGAAGGCGGAGCATCAACTCCTAGCGCCGAGAGAAATCCGTTATCTATGCTATCCGAAGCTAGCTCAGAGGGTTTTGATCAGCTTGCTAAACAAAATCATAGAGAAAAATATCTGAAAAATGCCTTCGAATCGCTTAGTGGTGCGGAGGAGCCATCAAATCGTGTAAAAGCAACAAGTATTAGCTCTCAGTTTCATGGAAGGTAAAATAATTTTGATGAGTTGAAATATTATGATAAATAGTTAGTTTAATAATTGCTAATTACTGATTAATTTAATTTGTTATAGATTTAGTAGTGAAAATAATACCACTACCAAAATACGTAATACAGCAGTAATTAACGTAATAAAACATACAAAAGGTGATGATGATGTTGTGAAGAAACGGGAGGAGTTGCAGAGAAGGATAGAAGAAACCAGAAGAAAATTACAAAGTGTAAGTTTTGCATGAGAAAAGCAAAATGTTTTTCAAGAATTTTCATAATATAAGAAAAGAATATCAGCTTTTTGTCAAAGCTGATTTGATGCTTAGTAACATTTATATGTGAATATACAAATACAATATCACTTCTATAGAAATTCTATTTGTGCGAAATCTCATTAAATTCTGACTGAAGTGATATTTTTCGCAATAAATGTTTAAGACTAATAGCATTAAATAGCATTATTAATTGATGATCAATTTTTTTTAGTCATGAAATTATTTCATGATTATATTTCGTGTCAAATAAACCGAATCAGTGCACAATTTAGAACTGATAATTATATTTGTATATTATATATAAATACATATAAACATTAAGCACCAAAACTTGTTTCGAAAATGATATTCTTCTTTTATTTCTACGAGGAGTGACCAGAAAGTAAGTTCCGTTTTAAATTTTGCCGCCGCAGCGGTGCAGTCGCGATAATACACATGTGTGCCGAGTTTGTTGATTCATTGGCAAGGAATTAATGCGACTTTCAATTATTGATTTAATGCAAACGCATTTTAGTGTATGTTTATAATGTTTAAATAAATTACCCACCATTTGTGAAATACGGTCTGTGATTCGTTTTTTAAATGCGAAGTACATTAATGTGACTGAAATTCACCGTCATATGTGAAATATATATGGAGAACGTGCAATGAGTGATTCAATGGTACGAAGATGGATGCGATTTTTCAATGAAGGATGCGAAAATGTACACGACACTGAATGGAGCGAACGATTATCTCTGGGTAATGACAATTTGATGCATGCAGTTAAAAAGAAAATTAATTTTCCTTTGCTGGCCGATTTCATTGATGACAACGATGTCAAAGAAACTATCACCATGTGATTTGCCTCAGGCGGCAATTTTTTATGACGAAAGAATACAATGTCTGGTGTCTCATTATAATAAGTGCATCAACAATGACAGCAATTATGTACAAAAATAGTGTAAGGTGTGTACTTTAAAAAGCAATAAAAATTTTTTGTAAGTATATACTTGTTTTCTTTTAATAGGCCATCGAAACTTACTTTCTGGATAACATTCGTATTTCTCGGTCGATTTTCATTTAATATTGTTTTGCATAAAGTTTAATTCTTTTGTAGGTTGGTTATAGATCATTACTGAAATCCAGTCAAAGCATATCCGATTTAAGCAGTCATATACAGGAAAAGCATCGTCGTTCAAATAGGCTCAGCACAGGTAACAAATCCGGTCAGCAAAACCAATTTGCAAAACCGATTAATCCTTGTAAACCTATGCTAAATCCAAAGCCCACGTTTAAATCCCAGCAATCCATTAACAAGGTTCAAGGTATGGGGAATGCATTATCTAAGCTAGAGATACCAAATGAAAACCGCTTGTCAAAAAGTCCATCTATGTTGTGCATCAATGAGAAAGCAAAAACAACTCTTAACCATCCATTAACGTTGATATTAAAAAAAACTGAAAAGTATAAACTGTCCTTGAATAAAGCTAATCAATCTTTGCCAGAGTCTCCTGTATGTGAAGAATCAAAACTATTAAAAGAACAGTGTAAGAAAAACATAAATCGATTTGCAAGATTTGCTCATAAGAGAGGATCTTGTAGTTATTTTATCGGTCTGAATGATCATGAGAAGGATATCGTGAGTGTTGCAAAATCTTTCGAAAGCTTACCTGCTATGAATGAACGTAATATGGAGAATTTCAAGGAAATCATTGATAATGCTGACGAGGGAAGTGGCAATTTCAGTGACGATTCATTGGAAGGAGATTTTAAGAATCCACCTCGACGTTGCGTCAGTGATTATCAGATAAACGTTCATATGAATGACTGTAGAAGTTATTCGAATTATGAGAATATTCAGAAAAAAATTTTAACTAGCTCTCAAGAAAGCATACTTTCGAATGCCTCTGTTGAGTCATTCTCTAAAGGAAGTGCTGAAATCTTGGATTATAATCATTATGATTACGATAGACACTCGAGTGCGAGTTTCTTTTTGTCTCGACGTAAAATGCAGGAAGGCAGAAGTCAAGAGAGCATATTAACTGACGAGTCGGACTATCAGATGTTTCCATTACGCGAGAACACTGATCATCAAAGTACAGAAAGCGTGTTAACCGATGACTCGGATTCCTTAGTGAAATCTGCACCCCTGGAAATGTTGTTTGATTCACATTACAAGCGAAAAAGACAAAATTCCGAAACCTACAGCGGAAACCCTAATAATATTGTAGAGACCATTACGGATAATGCACAAAGCTCTCCTAACAAGAACACATTGTACAGAGCAGTGTTTAGGTCGAAATCTTTGCAGGATACTAGAATCAACAAAGCGAGGAATAATACAAATTTTGCAGAAGATAACGCATCTTTGAAAACTCACGTTTACTGTGAATTTAATTTTGACAACGAACACAAGAATAATGTGGATACGACAATTTGCAGTGGTTCAGAAACTATTTCGCATAGCAATAGTCTGAAAGTGCCTACAAAACTAGAATCGATGATGATCTTGAATGATTTTGTTGCACACAAACCACCAAAACCTAAGAGAAATTCGTCTCGTACTCAAAGTATGCGTAATAGAGCTAGACCAACTTGGAAATATATTGACATTCCGCCCTCATCATCTGCTTTAAAAAGCGATTCTGATAATTACATAGCACCTTCTATGAGTTCAATTTGTTCCACATATAGTATTATGCAGGACAATATGATTAAGCAAGATTCAATCGATTCGAAAGTAATGCAACAATTCTTGCATTCCGCGAACTGTACGCTACAATCTGACAATAATAAAAAGAGCGGAAGTGAATTTTATAGTCTACAGACTTGTACTGATAAAAATGATATTTCGCAGGATGAACAGATATATGTCAGGAACGACTCCTCACGTTTAACAAAAAATCATCACATAAAGAAGATTCATGATTCGAGGAAGGAACTGTGTACATCTTATGATAAGGAACAAATAAATTTATTTGAAAATGGCGTTTCAATAAAAAATATATATGAAACTTATGACTCACTAGAGCCCAGTGAAGTCTCCTGCGATCTCCAAAGAGAGGAGATCGATAGTTCGAATTTGCAATCTACCAATGAATATATCAACAATCTTGATGCGAGTGTGAATTTTAAGATAACTCGTGCAATTGAGGGAACTGTGAAATTACTTTCGAAGGAATTCGAGAATCTAATGAGGCAAAAGCAATATTTGACGAAGGAGAAATATTTACAATTGACGCACGGTCAGGAGATGAGCAAAAACTTTGCTAAATTGGAGGCCGAACGGGATGGTAGATTTTACACAATCAAACGCAATAATGTACGGCTACATTCGTGTGGCGAAGATAGTGATTGCGCTGATGTGTCAGCGATGGATAGATCGCTAATGGAAAGTGGCTCTTCCACATCCGCCTCAAGTTGCACTAATTCGCCTAAGAGAATGTGGCCGCCTGCGTCGCGATGTTCGAGTCACGCAAAGTGGACGAAAACTCTACCGACGATCGATCAAACGATACTTTCCACGAAGCATCCTTATGCAGGTATCAAACAAGTAGAAAATGCTTGCATATATTCTACATGTTGTTAAATTTTACATGTCAGTGTCCCAAAATTATTATAAATAGAAATTTACACATTAAACAATTTATAGAAGAAATACTTTTTCTATTTACACATATCTCATTTTATTGTAAATATAATTATATAATACTTGTATATATATATATATATAT